GGATGGGGGGGAGGGGGGGTGGGGGCGGTCAGTGAGGTGAGCTGAAGGGTCAGCTGCCCCTCCCTTTCCTTGCTCTCACTCCGAACACTGCCCCCTCCCCCCAACCCGCCCAGCACACACCGGCAGTGTACTGGGGGCCTCACTATTGGGCCACTTCCTTGGTGGCAGCCAGCAGCCAACCAGCCTTGCACTCCAATGCAGAGTGATATTAGCTAGGGGCAGGGTGTCCTATCAGGTGGCATGATGGCTCAGTGGTTAGCACTGCTGCCTAACAGCACCAGGGACCCAGGTTCGATTCCACCCTCAGGCGACTATCTGTGTGGAGTTTGCATATTCTCCCCGTGTCTGCGTGGGTTTCCTCCGAGTGCTCCGGTTTCCTCTCGCAATCCAAAGATGTGTAGGGTAGGTGGATTGGCCATGCTAAATTGCCCATAGTGTTCAGGTATGTGTAGATTGTAAGGATGGGTCTGGGTGGGATGCTCTGAGGGTCAGTGTGGACATGTTGGGCCGAAGGGCCTGTTTCCACGCTGTAGGGATTCTATGATAGGCTGCAGAGACCCCTTCACTTTCCCCTTACTCACCGCTACCTTCTGCCCTCCGTTCAGGTGAATGAGCTGCAGAACATCACATGTGCCGAGGTGATTGTACCCCGGGATCAAACACCGGACGACAACGACGAGGTCATCGTGAAAATAATTGGGCATTTCTTTGCCAGTCAGGTAAGCCTCACGACGCCGCGCGCTCAGGCAAGCGCACTGGGTGTCCTCATCTGTGAGCGGTGACGCTCAGCCCTGCGGGATCCATGGGGAAATTCAGCAACATTGACACTTCAGCACCATTTGTTTGCGCGTGTGCAAGTTACGGGCGTGTGTTTCCTAACCCGACGATCACAGTTTCAGGAAGACACGTTGTGTGAATCTGAAGCAGAAGAAAATCTCAAGTCAATACTGACCATCCCCCAAATACAATTGATACGCAGAATTTGATTTCACTGTGCAACGGTCAGTGACGTGGAGTTGTGTGTGCAAAGTAAAGCTGGTGTTGCAGTTTTACAAAGTGCAGCAATTAATGATCGCTCAAGCAGCTCAGAGATGTGGGAGTGTGGAGTAATATCCTGTTATGGAACCACTACAGTCTGTAAGCAAGGCATTCGGCCGATTGAGTCCACACCGGCCCTACAAAAATCCCACCCCCCCCCCCGCCCAATTTTACCCCATAACCCTGCGTCTCCTGTCCACCTACCCTGCACATCCCTGGACACTATGGGCAATTTAGCACGGCCAATCCACCTTACCCACACACATCTATGGACTGTGGAAGGAAACCGGAGCACCCGGAGGAAAGCCACGCAGACACCGGGAGAATGTGCAAACTCGACACAGTCGCCTGAGAGTGTTTGTGTTTGTGTGTGTGTGTGTGTTTGTGTGCGTGTGTGTGCGCGCGTGCGTGTGTGAGCGAGAGGGTGTGTGTGAGTGAGAGGGTGAGGGTGTGTGTGTGTGTGTGTG